ATAATTCAACGCATGACACGCCTTTTCAGCGCCCCCGAAAAACTTTCAAGCTGGTTGTTCCACTGCATGCTTCTAGGCTGCCCTGGTTCGAACAACTTCTTGGCGATCTGTTTCTGGATGGGCTGGTGGGGATACGCGAGGAGTCCAGAATCTCTCGGAGGTCGACACGGGTTCGTTGGATCGGCGCTGGCACCCCCTCCCTGGCGCGCGGCTGGACCGCGCCAGGGGGGCCCAGCGCCGATCCCCCAAAAACAGCGCGGTCCTCCGACACATCATGTTTAGTATCTTGTTGCTCCAAAGCGGGGCCACCCCGAAGGCCACATACCGTTGTCTCCACTCGCCTTCGCGGCCTGCTGCGGGGGGAGGGACCCCCTCCAGGTGCTGCTCTTGCTCCTCGTCCTCGTCCGCCTCCTTCTTTTTCCTACTCGTCCAACTCTGGCACATTCGGCTCTACTAGACTACACCGCCGACCGAACACAATGATCGGGAGCCGGCAGACACCTCCACCGTTCCTCAAATGGAGCGGCCCCGCTTCTCGGCGACTCTTCCTCCTCCTCCTCCTCCTCCTCCTCCTCCTTCCCCTCCACCTCCTCCTCGACCTCCTCCTCCTCTTCCTCCCCTCGACCTCCTCCTCGACCTCCACTTCCTCCTCTTCTCTATCCTCCTCCTCCTCCTCCTCCTCCTCCTCCTCCTCCTCCTCCGCTTCCTCCTCCCCCCCCTGGGGAAATATCATGGCCCCCGCCATGATATCCAGCCCCCCCTGGTCATCACCCCCCTCTTTTCCGCCCCCGATCCCCGGTCCCCCGCCGCACCCGTGCCGGGCCGCGCCTGCACCGTCAGCGCCACCAGGACCACCACCAGGCGCACCGCCGTCGCCGCCGCGGCCTGCGCCTGGCGGCGGGGCGGCGGCCCCCTCTGCTGCCGACGTCCACCCTTTGGCGAAGTCGGGCGTGCTCCCCCTACAGGGGGACTGTCGACGAAAAAAAAAGAATGGCCAACAAAAATACTCCAAAAATTTCAAAAACTACTGTAAAAATGCTCCCCAGACTATTTTTTGACTATTGTTGAATGTTCCCCCTGTAGAGGGACAGGCCCGACTTCCACCCTTCGGCGCGGCGCGAAGCACCCCTCAGCTCCCCCCGCCGCCCACCCCATCGTCTGCCTCACGGGAGCAACGGGGGGAGGGGCGGGAGGAGGAGGACGAGGACGAGGACGAGGAGGAGGAGGAGGTTGAGAATAAGGTGGAGGAGAATGAGGAGGCAGAGGGATGGGGGAGGAGAGGAGGGATGCGAAGGGAGGGGGGAAGGAGGTGGGAGGAGGGGTGGGAGGAGGAGGAGGAGGAGGAGGAGGAGGAGGAGGAGGAGGAGGAGGAGGAGGAGGAGGAGGAGGAGGAGGGGGGCGGGAAGGAGGGGGGCGGGAAGGAGGACGGGAAGGAATGTGGGGGTGGGATTCAGGGAGAGAGGGGGGAGGAGGAGGAGGAGGAGGAGGAAGGAGAAGGGAGGAAAGAGAAGGGCAGCGGGAGGAGGATGGAGGACGACGGCGGCGGAAGCGGCGAAATCGACGACGACGACGATGATGACGACGCCCGGCCCCAGACCTGTCCTGAAGCGTGCTCTGGCCAGAATCATGAGCCGGGCCCACCCGCGGCAACAAAGCGGCGCCTCCGCCCCCGATGCTAGAACGGGGCCCAACGGCGCCCAAGAGCCCCGGCCCACCATACGCAAATCCTCGATCGACCACGACGACGGCGGCGGCGAAGAGGGCAGCGGCGCGGCGACGACGACCACATCGGCGGCGACGGGCGGGCGGCGACGGAGACGACCACGACAACCACGACCACCACGACTGTCGGTGCTTCAAGGATAAGCCCTTGGACCCCTTCCCATCCTGAAGACCCCATCCCTCAGGACCCCATCTTCGAACCCCCGAACGACTGCGCCGACGACGGCGCCGACGCCGACGCCGACGACGCCGCCGTCATGACGGCAGTGGCGGCGGGAAGCCCCCCCTCCCCGCGCTGGGGGCACCAGTGCCAGCGGCGGCGCCTCGCTGGCGCTGAGCACCACGCCTCGCCGCAGGCGGCTCCGGGCGGGCTGCGGCGGACGGCGACGGCAGCGGACGGCGCTGGCGGCGAAGGCCCGCGTCGCTCACGAGGCCACGACGGCAGCAGGCCTTGGCCGTGCTCGGCCCCTGGCGGCCCTGGCCGGGCCCCGGGGGCAGTCCTAGGACGGCGCTGGCCGGAGCAGCGGCCCCGGGGTGGAGGGTGGGGCCGAGTCGGGGGCCCCGTGCGGAGCAGAAGCCAAGACGTAGCATCCCTTGGGCGGCGGAGGCGTCGGCGTCGAGGGGCGAAGTGTGGCGAGGCCGGGACGGGGTCAGAAGCGGATCGGGGCACGTCGGGGATCTCTCTCCGAGGTCTGGATGGTGAGCTGGAGGGCGCATCGGGCGCAACGAGCGAGCCTGAGCACCCTGAACGCTCCGGAGCGATCTCCGCCGACTGGAGTGGCCTAGCAAGATACGTAGTGGTGGCCCAGCACTTCTCTGCCCCGTTCTGGCCCCGCCCGACAAGCGTGGGCGGCGGAGGCGGCGGCGGAGGCAGAGCGGGAGCTCGGGGCGGCGGCGGGGCGGCGGCGGGGCGGCGGCGCAGAGTAGTGGGGGCCGACACGGGCTCACACTGTTTTGAGCAGCGGCGAGCTGGATCTGGTGGGCGGTCGGCTATCGGCGGGGCACGTCGGAAGCGAACTGGGCACGAGGGAGGGGGAAGGCAGGGGGCAAGAAGGGGTCGGGACGTAGGGCCGCGAGGCAGCGGGAGCGCTCTCAGGCCGTGAAGAACTTCGGGGCGTGCCAAGCTGTCAGTGCGGGCGCAGGTGCACCCCAAATCCAGGGTGAGGACGGTGATAGGTGGGCACATGTGGACCCGACCCCCCCACCCCCCCGAGCGAAAGGAACGCCCACCCCCCGGTAGAAATCGCGGGTGGTGGGGGTGGGGCTCACATGTGGCCACCGAGATGAGCACATCGGGCTGGCACAAACGATGGAGGACGAACAGAAACGCACCCTGTGCGAGACGACGTGGCCACCTTACGCCATGGCTCACGCGGGTTGCCAGCGAGGCCAAAGCCGCGCGGGGAAGTGGGCGCTTCTACGCACGACCGAGAATGCCCGCACAGCGCACAGTAGGCCCCGCTCTGGGGGGAAGTCAAAAGCTACCGAGAACGCTACTCCCCGGACCCCTCCCGGGGGTGCGTTCCGATCATTACTTCGAGGCAAATCCCAGCGGTGGCGACGAGGGCCTCCCAGGAGGCCCAAAGAGAGGAACACGAGGGAAGCCCTGAGATCTGGCGTTGCCCAAACACATGAGAAAGCATCGCAAACTATCAGGACCAGGCTCCCAGACCCCAGCTTTCTGCCTCATTTCTCGAGCCGCATCGACCCATGAGGGTCCAAGGACCCGAAAGGGAGCGAAAACGCCTGGCCCGAAAAATCGAGATGCCAGGATCTCGGAGAGAAGAGATGCGATATCGGCACCTTTCCCTCCTGTGATTGAGCGGGGACTGACCGTCCCGGCATTCCTATAGGCCTACCACGACATCTTCTCAGAACCCAAACATGTTCTGAGAACGAAATCAATGCTCTCAGAACAGAACGCCGATGCCAAGTGTCTAGAGCAAACCAGCCCCATCCAGTTACGAGAACATTTCGTGCAGACCACAAAAGGTTACTAGAACATGACTTGCTGGGCGGCTGGGCCTACGGGGAAGCCTGGACGCTTCGCCACTGCTTGATCCGTCGCTCACGTCCCGGGGAGCGCTGGCGGCGGCGGCGGCCTCTCCGGCGCCCGATATGGAGGCGACGGAACCGCGACGGAACCGGCAAAAAAACGGCGTCTGAACTGGCAAAAAAACTGCAAAGCGGAACTGCTAAAAACTGCCCTGTCGTTCCCAGGGCCCACTGAGGCTGGGCCCACGGGGAAGCCCAGACGCTTCGCCACTGCTTGATCCGGCGCTCGCGTCCCGAGGAGCGCCGGCGCTGGCGGCGGCAAAGGGGCCTCTGCGTGAAGTCGGGCGTGTCCCCTACAGGGGGATTTTAGGCGAAACAAAACTGAAAAAATACACCAAAATAATCAACAAATAATCAAAAAATAGTCCCCAGGCTATTTTTGAATTATTTTTTGACGTCGGCGGCGACGAGAGCAGTAGCAACGACGTAGAGACGCGGCTCGAGAAGATGACCAAGAAAGACACTGGGGGGGGCCTGGGGGCAAATTCTAGAACGACTCTGGCCAGACGACTGTTGACCCAATGACGATGACCGGCGACGGCGATGGCGACGACGACGGTCGACGGGACACTACTGTGAACGAACATGGTTCGCAACTATCGCACGTGACAAGTTGTGCAAAGCGGACTCACTGGACCGCAAGCACCGCAGCACGCTCGTCGAATGCAGCTCGCAGACGTGAAGAGCGCCCATCCTACCCCCCCTCGTCCTTCGCATAATGGCATACAATACGCTTACTCGCCGCGCATAACCCCACGCACGTAGGTCGCACTGACGCACGACCGTTCACGGACCAGCCTTTTGGTTTGACCCGACCTCTGTCGGGGAGGAGGCGGGAGAAGGATGAAGGAGTTGAAGGAGAAGGCAGGACAAGAGGGCAGCATGGGGAAAAAATGACGATGTTGGGGAGAGCAGGGAAAAGACAACGAAGAGGGGGAGAAATGACAAACAAAAAAGGCACATATACGCTGCACGCACAATCCGCACACACCCGCTTCCTCTACACTGTTCCGCCCATTGCTCCTTCACCCGTCCACACTCCGACTTATGAACATTATCCTCCTAGTCGCCCTCCTCATTCCCATGACCTTCTCCTCCCAATCCTTGTATTTCTCCTCGACCTCCTCTTTATTCTCATTCTCGCTCTTCCATTCCAGAAAAGGAACATGAGGGTGGAGGAAAACGTGGCGCAAAAATGAGGTCGGAGATGCTGTGACGATTTGGGCCGTTCGAATTATTGTTCCTGCTCCTCCTCCTCGTACCCTCACGCCCCAAAGTTTCCCTCCACCCCTTCCTGTTCATACCCCGTTGCGGTTCTTCCCGCCCATTCCCCGTCCACCTCCTCGTGCCCACCTCTCCTCCCGCTCCTCGCCCAAGCGTCTCCTCCTCGTCGTCCTCATGGCAATCATCACAACCACCACCATCAACACCCCCATCATCATCTTCTTTATCAGCATCATCAACACCACCAAAATTCATCAGCACCATCAGCATTATCACAACCACCACCAGCATCACCAACATCATCACCAACAATACCATGAGCACACGCATGAGCATGAGTATGAGCATCCGCATTCGTTCCAACACCATCACCAGCACGATCACACTCATAATCACCATCACCACCATCATCACCAACAGTATCCTCATCGCCACCAGCATCACCACCCGCAGCAACATCACATCCATGATTATTGTCAGCATCCCCCATTCCTTTCTTTTTCATCATCATTGTTATTATCGTCAGCACCATCTTCGTAAACGACGTCACCGTCAGCATCAGCACAATCACCATCGTCATCATTATCAAAGTCACGATCCTCAACATCATCAGGCCCCACATCAAAATTAATACCAGCATCATCACCAGCGGCAGCGCCGTCACCACCACCACCATCATCACCACCATCATAATCATCAGAAACACCCGCATCGTCATCAGTATCACCCGCATCATCGTCGTCATCATCGTCCGCATCATCATCATCACCATGATGGTTTAAGGCTGTCAATCTGATGATATCCCAGAGCGGTGCATGGCGTAGCTTGCCGCCAGACGCCACCGAAATCAATCGAAACTGCGTCGCAGGGAGGTCTGGGTCGGGAACGACAAAAGGTTACGAGCGAGGCAACGGGCGAGGCACGCCAAGCTCCTGCAACCTTCCCCCTACTCGTCTCACTGGACGGCCCCTCTGACATCATTGCTGCGCACGCGCTCATGGTGCTTTAACGCGGCCAAGAGAATGATATCCCAGAGCGATGCATTGCGTAGCTTGCCACCATACGCCACTGACATCGATTGAAACTGTCCGTGCCGCATCAAGAAGAGAGTCGCATCTTCAAACGTATTTTGGCTTCGGGCGGGCTGCGGAGGGAGAAGCCGTAAGTCTCGGCCTGGAATGAAATGAAGACGAAGCACCAACCACGTGCTTTTGAGCCCACAACGATCTGAAAGCTTGTGCCATGACCGAATGCAACTACGGAGGATGGTGTTTCGCTCGATCCGTCTTCGAGCTAGCTGACTCTTTTCCCTCGAGGTGTTCTTGAGGGTTACCCGAACGCGAACATGTACCTGCCTTGCCAGTGCACTCGTGGTCTAGGAGCGCGTCGACAAAATCGGGGGACTTGAGGATGGAGGTCCGCTTCCTGGAGTCGCCCCCAGCGTGGCGCTGATCAAAAACGATGGTTTTCGCATTCTTCGAATTGCGGAGGCCGCTCAGAAAAAGGCACGCCCCAGAACATGGAGGAGGCGGGGTTTTCGATCGTGAACGGGATGTTATATCGAAGTGCCTGCCTAACTAACCATCATGTTACTTTAGCGAGCCCGTTGCCTTCGAGGCGCAGCTTTCGACCCTTCTCGGATCAATCTAGGAGGCCCCGAATCCTCGCAGGAGAACGGACGGCGCTGGGCATGGGCGGGGACCGCGGAGCCCGTCTAGCCATGCTGAAGGAGCGGCACGGCGTAGCCATGAAGATTTCTAGCACGCTGCCCGCGCCCATCAATCGCAGCAGCGCTGGCAACGCGCCCGGCGAGAAAATGTCCGTGCCAAGGTCGAACCTCTAGCGACGAGATGCCACGCCTCGCGATGGCCCCGCCGATCCCCGCGGCGCGCCCGCGACGACATCGAGGCTGACGTCGCCTCGGCCTAGCCAGGCGGTCGGGGTGCGATGACCACGTCGAGGAAGACTTGACCTTGCTGGACTTCTCGCACCTGGCGAGCGAGCTGACGCTGGCCCAGCGCCGGCGCCTCTGAACCTCCAGCAGCGATCTCCTGCCGGCGATCGCGTCCCAAGATGGGCCCGCGTGGCACAGGCTGCGCGGCGCGATGCCTATCTTCTCGAGGTGGCGCAACTCTACGGTCTGCGCGATGAGGTCGCCAAGCTCCACCTGCAAGAACGTCCACAGCGGGCCCTTCGGCAGCGCGCCTCTGCGGCGCTGCTCGAAGAAGTGGCCCGCGGACTGCGTGTGCCCGTGGTCGAGCGTCGCGGTGTCGTCGCACGCGCCCGTCTTGATCAGGTCTCCGTCGTCGTCGGAGGGCCTGAGGATGGGCGACCACTTCTGGCGCACTGGCCCGAAGCCAACTGCGGGCGGGACGACGTCTCGAACGCGGAGTCCACGCGATTCCCCCGTCCGTGCGCCCCAGAATGTGAAGAGCCACAACTAGCCCGCAGATGGTCGGAGACGGCGGAAGCCCGGCATGACTCCTCGCCCTTCCTTGGCGCGGACGGCCCCTCATGCTCGCCGCGCGGCCGCTTAGCCGCCGCGGTCCACTTCGCAACGGCAGCCGAGGCAAGGTGGATGTCTGGGAAGCCGTCGCGCGCGAGTCAGGCCGCCCCCCCGTCGTCATCGATGAGGTTGCCGCCCCCGTCGATCGGGGGCTCGCCCATCTCGTGGCCGGCCAAGGCGACCTCTCGGCGATTGCGATGCGGGTCCTTTCTGAACCTCCAGCGCTCGCCCTGGCGACCTGCGAGTCTGACAGCATCGGGCGGCCATTCAGCAGCACAAGCGCCAAGGCCAACCTGACTGACGTCGGTCGCCACCACCTGGTCCAGCCAGCCCGCCCCGAGGTCCGCGTAGACCAGCGGCAGGATTCGGCCACGCGTTGTTGGCCTCGTCCCCCGCGGACCCGGCGACGGCGAAGGCGGCCGCGATGCGCGATGCGCATGGGCGCTGCAGTGAAGACGCGAAGCACAGGTGCCCCAGCATGGCCCGCGACTTCCCCCCTGCACAGCGGCCTCGCCGTGCGAGGGCACGCAGTCCTGCATAAAGGCGCCACACACGCTGCGACGAGAGAGTGGCCGCCTGCCTCATGCCATCCAAATGCACGCCCACGATGTCCATGGAGGTGCTGGCCTGCTCGATCTAGTGGACCTGGAACCCCGCCTTCCGCGCGCCATCGAGTGCGCGTCCATGTAGCTCTTGAACTTCGTCTCTGTCACGGCCGACGCCTCCCAAGTTGTCAACGCATGCCAAACGCGCGGCCCCACCATCTACTCCTGGCGGTGGCGCGCCATCTCGCAAGAGCCGAGGCGGCAGACCAGCGCGCAGCATAAGTTCCTCATGAACCAGCTGCGCAGCCCACATGGCCCAGAAGAAGCGCATCGGCAGCATATGCAGCGCCGGTTAGATGAGCTCCTGCGGGTCCACCCTGATGCCGTTGATGTTTTTCACTCTAACGACGATGCTCGGGCTGGCGGCAGTGCGAAATACTACGACAGCGCCTCGTCGATCCTGAGCTCGTGGAAGTAGTCCTCGATGTCGAAGGTGGCCGCGTCGATGACCTTGTCCTGGCTGGCCTCCAGGCGGCTAAGGGGGTCCCCAGTAGCGAGCTGGATGGCATCTGGAATATCAAGCCGGACGTTGCTCATTCGTGCATCACATATGAATCGTAAATCGCCGCACTTCTTGCGCACGAAGAACAGACCAACCCTCTCGGTGTAAGTTCGAGTCCAACGCGCCAATCCCCCGTCGCGCAGTTCTCGACAAAAAAAAAACACCCCCACGTAGCAGGATGTTCCTCCAGCGCTGGGTCAGGACAAAGGTTGGGCAACCTCTCCTTCTCGATGCGTAATGCGCGCTCCTCGCCGTTGAGAAAAATGGCGCCGCGAAGCCGCTTGAGCTTGTGCGACGCGGCTTCGGGCAAGACGTCGTAGATGTCCACCCCCGCCAGGTCGCGACCTGGTAAGGGAATGGAAGCCGAGCCAAACGGTGCAATGTTCCCGGCGCCCTTACTGTGACCATAGCGAATGCCCGCGCGCAGAAGCGCCGCGAGGGCTTCTCGCGGGGCGGGCCTCTCTTTCCGAAAACGGGGCAGCGGCAGCGGCATCTCGAACCAGTGCAAGGGCAGCCCTCGTCTGTTCACCTCCTGGCCCGCACGGCGATGCACTGCCGACGCCCCCCCAACTCGTTGAGGGCCCCATTGATGATCTCATCGGAGCGGTTGTCCATCCAAGCGCGCCCGCAAATTCGTTGTCGAACTCCACGACTGAGGGGGCTACGAGGGCTTTCGCGACGCCCACCGCCGCTCCTATGCACCGTCGGGCCAAACCCCAGTAAAGCTCTATACGCAGCTTCCTTTTTTCCGATTGCGCCGCGCGACACGGTTCCAGTTCTGGTCTTTTGGGGGGGGGTACAGGCCCGCCACTTCTAACTCGCGTGCGCGATTGTAGGAAACAATAGCGCAATGGCCAGGGATGGCAGGGAGGGGTATGATGTCAGGTGTGGCGCGAGCGCACTTGGCTTGCCCCGTGTGCCCATCCCAGCTTCCTGCTCCCATCCCTCTCCCCATCCCCCTCCTCCTCCTCCCCCGCCTCCTGCTCCTGCTCCTGATCATTATCCTCCTCCTCCTCCTCCTCCTCCTCCTCCTCCTCCTCGCACGCCCGGACAAAAACAGGCAGACAGCGGACAGCAGGTCAGCCGACCCGCAGGCAGACGGACCAGCGGAGGCAAGAAAGGGGCGGGCACCGCGCGGGCATTCGTCGGGGGGCCTCGTCGATGACAACGGTGATCGGAGACAAACGGCACAAACATAGTTACAGTCGAGGCGTTGACCTAAGGAACCCTGCGTAAATAAGAAACGAGGTCCGTTTTGCCATGAAGTAATAAACTTCGATTGCCCATTGAAAACTTAAGGAAAACCTTAGGCAAGCTGCGCACAAATAAAGGAACACCGAGCCCCTTCCCCAACGAAAATGGTTCCTTCTTCGGCGCCCCGACTGTAAATTGTCGAGGGTCCGCGCGGAGTCGACGACGACAACGAGGACGAAGACGCCCGCGCTGGCGCCGGCGATGGCGGCGGCGACTGCGACGGCGACGGCGGCGGCGGCGACGTCGGTGATGGTGACGGCGGCTGCGACAGCGGCCGCGGGGTGCGCGCGCGCGCGCCCGCTGCTGCTGCGGCGAGCGGCGCGAAGACGGCCCAGTGGAGCGCGCCGCACATACACCCGAAGCCCGTGACGATGACCACCGTCAGCGCCTGGACAGCGGCGACGGCGGCGCCCGCGACAACAGGGGCGGCGGCGATGGCGAAGGCGGCGCCGGCGCCGGCGGCGAAAGCGACGGCGGCGGCGACGGGCAGCCAGCGACGCGAGTGGCGAAGGACAGGCGACGGACGACGACGACGACGACGACGACGACGGCGGCGCCGACGACGACGACGACGACGACGACGACGACGACGACGACCATCGGACGAGCGGATTGACGAAAGTCTGCGCGAGCGCCTTCACCAAGCAGCTGTGCGCAGAGGCGGGCCGCCCACGCTCGGCCTCGCGCCTGCCCCGCTGGAGGCGCCGCACCTCTGCCCCGGCTGCTCGCCTCTGCCCCTGCTGCCGCTCGCGGAGCTTGGCCGCCACGGGAAGCGTGCGGCCAGCTGCGTCGTCGCCGTGCTTCGGCTCCGTGGGATCGACGCGCTCTAGGCGCGCAGGCCCGTGGGGACCTCGAAGGTGAACCCCGGGCAGCAGTTTCTGGTTGACTCTGGGTGTGTCGACCACGTGGTGTAATCAAGCTGTGTGGTGCAGGCTGTGTGGCGTAAGCTGTGTGGTGCACGTCTGGGAGGTGCAAGATGTGCTGTGCACGCGAATTCTGCTGTGGCCACACTCAGAGATCCGGTGTCCTGGTTTCTCACTGAAGGATCGCCGGGAGTCCCGACCCAGCTGTTCAGACTGAATCGTTTTCGACGGCCTCTATAGGGGCCCAGCGAGGGCCTCCAGAGGCCGAAGACAATGAAAAACCGCAACTTGTTCACGAGGAGGAGGAGGAGGAGGAGGAGGAGGAGGAGGAGGAGGAAGGAGGGAGGAAAGGAGGAGGGGGAGGAGGAGGAGGAGGAGGAGAGGACAGACAGACACCTCTGGGGGCCAATAGTTTATCCGAAGTGAATCAAGCGCCCTAGGACCGACATAACTGCCGCGAATTCGGGCCTCCAGCCCGCCCTGAAGCCTAACAGAGTTTCAAAACCCTAGGCACAACACGCACTACACACTGTACCCCAGGAGACGGGCCGCGGACCCCGACAGGCTCTCGCCGAAGCCCGCACTCCGAAAAACCCGAACAGCGTCCTGGTGCTTCCTAGCCCGTTTAGAAGGAGGAGGAGGAGGAGGAGGAGAGGAAGAAACGGCGGCCTCAGCGGCGGCAGGCGGGCGAGCCTCACGCCTCGCCCTCAAGGACCCCGAAGTCTGAGTTCCCGACGCCCTCGAAGCACACGATGCACGCACCCTCACGTCGCTGGACGTCGCAGTACATCGTGACAAGGGAGGACGAGCAGATGCCGTCGCAGAAGCTTCATCATTCGAGTCGAATGCTGATGATAATGATGGCGATGGCGGCAGCCGCGCGGGAGGCAAAATCTGGCGGGGCAAATTTCGGCGGGAAGCAAATGTTCGTGTCCTGCGGCTGCAATCGAACTTCTCACCATGAACATTTATGCGTCCATCTCGCCGTCCATCAGAAACGATTGTAGCACCCGCTCCATATGGTTCATCGGCGCCACCCCGACCTTTTTCTCCGCCCCCAGCTGCACCAAGCAGTCGATTAACACGTGCAAGGAAGGATCCGCTGTCATCAAGATCTTGACGGTGTCGCTCTTGTGGGCTGTCTGCACCTTGGCGAACGGGTACTTCTGCGAGACCTCGGGCAGGCTCAGCGCTGACACCTCCTGGCGCCACGCTGCGAGCTTGCCTGCATTGGCGGCGCCTACCGACTGGCCCGCCTCTGTGCACCCCTCCGTCAGGCCGACCAAGCACGCGAGGGAGATGGTGCCCGTCTGGGCGATGTCTTCTTCCTTCTGTCGGGCGCGAAGGTCTTGAGCGGACTCCACCCGCGCCTTGACGCGTGCCCTGCTCCTCTGAACGGGGATCGCATTCTCTGGCATCACCAGCGTGACCAGCAAGACTGCTTCTGACTGCCGCTGCCTCATCGTCACATTTAGCAACAATTTCATGACCACTGGAACGATACGTTTGATCTGCTCCAACTCTAGCGTCTCCAGCTGTTCGAGCTCTTCCTTGGGCACGCGCTGCTTCCCCTGCCGCTGCGCGCCCTTCTTCGCCACGCGGTCTCCTCGTCCCTCGGACGCGGGTGGAGGCCGACGCCTGCTGGACTCGCTCACGACGGACGAGCTCGCAGCAGGGACCGCCGAGAACATACCACACAAACTCTGGTAGTGGAAGTGGCAAGTGTGAGACTAAGTGCCTCTGCAACTGCTCGAGAGACTCAAACGACTCCTGACATTGGGGACATATCCTGATATCTGGGTCCACAATCGGAGGATCATACTTCGAAGAGTCCACGCGGCAACGCCCATACTGGTACGCATTCACGAGGTGTCGAACAGCGGTGTCACGGCATCGAAAGGTCGACGAACAAGCGATACATTGATTCGTAACCACGAGCTTAGAGACCAGCGAAGGGACCCCGTGTTGGCCACCCGAGGCCTGGCGCTGGTGAGCAAGAAGCGCACGACGAGTTTGAAAGCGACGATCGCATGAAAGCCCGTCTCCCGTAAGCAGGGTGCAGACGTGATCGCCCGCAGCGAGCTCACCTGGGCCAGGAGGGGCCTCGGCAACAGGAACCTCACGAAGGAGCCATTCGGCCCTCAGCTGCTGGACATCGAACTTCTGAAACGCATGAAACGCATCCTGGTCATTTCTGAACACGTTTAGGTAGTCCCCGCCCGTCAACTCCAAGACATTCCTCCCCTCCTCCGTGTGCCCGAGGTACTCGAGGTCCCGAAAAAACTGACGGGCCCACGGATTGGTCTTCGACGTGTCCTGGAGGTGAACCTGAGCCGAGGGAAACCACTCGAAGGGCGACGGCGTCGGGGCCTCAAAGTCGAGCTTCCCAAAGACCGCAGTGAGCTGCTGGACGTGCCAGACGGGGGACCTCGCCACCTTCTGCCACTCCTTAAGTCTCTGAACCCGTAGCTCCAAGGGAATCGGAACAAGACCCGCACGTTTCCAGATCTGGATGGCCGGAGGGGTTCGGATCACAACATGCTCGGACCCGTCAGCCGCGACCATCGGAACCTTAACAGCAACGCCCCCCAGCAACACCTTCAGGTACTTAAGAACGATGGAGTCCAATCGGGCCTCTTGAGACTCTGAGAGCACCACGGCCGTGAGTCCAGACACCGCCGCCCCGATCACGTTGCTACGAAAAGCCATTTTCTTCGAACGCCAGGCCGTACATTCCGTCCAGAAGCGTCTCATGTGGGCCCACCCTCTGACAACAGCGGCACAGCGAGCAGACACCTCGGAGCTCCAGGAACCCGAAGACTCGAACAAAGTACCCAGGAACGGCACCACAGGCAGGACGAGCCCTGGTAGATTACCCCCAGCCTGAAACGCTGCTCGTGTGAAGCGGTTGGCACCATGCCCGACGTAGTGTGGCAGAACTTGCTTTTTCCCATCACTCTGGTAGATCCCGTGAGGCGACAGCTGAGAGTTCAACAGTCTGTCAGACTTGTAAATGGTACGACGTGCACTGGTAAGATCCTGGACGACGTGGGTCTTATTGACGTCGTCAGCAAAAATTCTCAGAGACAAATCGCAGCGTGTCCCCGAGATGGTACACACTCCCTGCAGCTGGCTGGCCTGGTCGCTGTGGTGCGCCTCCTGCCAGGCACGGATCGGCGGCGCGAACGCCTCCTGGAAAACGGTGGCCGCATTTGAGTCCCCCATGTTGTTCCCCTCAGAGTTCTGAAAGACCTTCGATTCCCCCTCAGCACACACCATGAAGCAAGCAGCACGATGGCGCTGACGAAGGATGTCAGCATCAGCAGGATCATATATACGAGCAACAGCAGCATCAAGTGTATTGTGTTGAACAGACCCGAACGCATTTCGCATATCATGTTTGGTATCCACCGTAGACAGTCGGCCCCGTTGGGCCCTCCAGGTTAGGGCGGCAGTGGCCCTCACAGCTCCCGTACGCGATCGCCGAGGCAAATATCCGTAGTCGTGGTAGGGGATGTCCCTGGCCCGTCTGGAGGCCGTCTTCACCCACATTTTACCAAAAGAACATAACCCATGTAGAAGGCGGGTTCCCAGGGTCCGCAGTTTCCCATTGTCCTTGGGCAGTTGGTACGTGAATGACTGATTCCACTGGGCCACTAAACGGCCATGCTGTCGAACTTTAGTTAGTATGGCTGCTACCCACCGCGCAACTAGCTCACCCCGTCCTCGAGGTTGGGGGGCCCCGAGTCCAGCAACACGATCTGGCCCCTCAGGGCGCTGAGAAAGAAGTAACGACCATACCTCGTTCGGCACGCTCCACGGTACCGCGGCGCGACGACGACGAGCAGTGCGGAACCCCTTGGAAATTCTGTCCAGATCAGCCCTCCCCCACTCCACCTCCTCGGTCGTCGGAAAATCCGCCGTGTCGTATTTCGACGCAAGCTCCAAAAACTTATCCCCGTCGATCGGCTTCGCAGACATTCCCCCACTGCTCGACGGCATCGCCAAATCCTCCACCCACTCCTGCATGCTCGGGGTATAGGCAGCTATGTGTCCAAACCTACGCCGTCTCGGACCTACCCCAGCTCCAGCCATGAGTCGACAGATCCGCCACTCCTCAGACATGAGGCCCCGTGCGTGAGCATCTGCAAGTTCTTCTGCAAGCTGAGCCTCACGCTGCTGACGAAGACGCCTCCGCAGCCCACGACACAGACGGGTCAGACGCGACAGAGCTAGAACATCTTCTAAATTGTCCGTAACCGCAGCCCGAGCCTGTCCACGCAACCTAAGAAGCCGAACGCGCTCACGAGCTAGCTCCTGATAAGCAGCAGGAAGGGCCCTGGGACTTGCTTCGAACATGCTTAAACCCTGACGCTGAAGGAGGTCGACTAGTTCGTGCCAAGCAGCCTCTAGAGACTCAGCATCTTGGACAAGCTGCTCAACTGAGACACATCCCTTTGCCTCAAGAACCTCGCCGATCGCGCGTTCCACTGACTGGCGAAAGGCATCAGCATGGAACTCACTACGAAGTGCCTGTCCGAGCCCCACGAAGTCCCACCTTTTCCGCTCCTCACGATCGACATGACACGGACGTAAATCAATCTCAAGAATGAATGGTACATGATCTCGAGGCCGGCTGTCAGGAATGGCCTGAAGTCGGCGTGCCGTCCGAAAAGGTTGGGTGAATCGTCGTACACTCGGCACGTGTGACGACGGTATCAGAACATGATCGATCCATGAACAACTCTGCTGCTTAGCTTTCCCTGACGCTGCAAACAGACGAGCCGCCGTCGCCGAAGGTGGGGAAGTCGAGGGAGTCCGATCCGTCGTCGTCGACTTCGTAGGTACCCCATAATAACTAGGCCCTCCACTGAAAACAGTATCTAAAACCGACAGCTCGTACGTCTCAGCCAGTTCTCTCATGAGTCCCCCAGCCTGGTGTTCGACTCCCCTTCCGTAAGGCCCCAGGGCCTTGCTCTCGACCATCACGTGACCGTGCTTACCACCCACGAGCCCGATACCGTCATTAAGATCAGTAGCCACAACAGGAAACGTACGACACGGAAGAGATGACAGCACATGATGCCCAAAGTCCGTCACACGTGAAATCGTCGTCGATAACTGCTGCTGCTCGCGTGGATCTCGAGACCGAGGAGGGTAGTACAACGCCACCACCGAAAGATCACCATAGAACGATTTTACTCGTATTGCTGCTGCGCGTCCACGAATGTCAGGCGGTGCAGTCCAGATGCGAACTACATCACGTGCACGTACAGTGTTTTTGTTCAAGTAAAAAGCAATGCCACAAGAACAGTTAGTCAGCGCTCCTTTAGCAGACCACCCACAATGGACCACTTTGAACCCAGGGAGATCTTCCACATGATACGGAGCGCTCGGGGAACACTTGCGTTGAGTCCCGATGAGCACAAGTACGTCAATAGATTTGAAGGCATACAGAATCTCTAACTCACGATCTCGATCAGAAACGGAAAGTGGATTCCACACCAAGATTCGCATCACGTCTGCTGATGTAATCGCTCCGCTGACAGCCTGACACGCCGTCTGCTGATGTAATCTCGCTCCGCTGACAGCCGACGCTCTCTCTGTAATGCTGACGAGCAGACCAGAGTTGCCGAGCGCCGCCTCTGTGCAGCAGACGATCCAGTCTGGCTCGCTGAGGTCCTGGCCCACGAAGCAGGCCGACGTGAGGGCCCAGACGAGCAGCGCGAGAAGAAACAAGAATGATGTGAAGCTGAAATGTGGAGTGAAGGGTGAGTGCGATATCGGGGCGGGTGGGGGCCAGCCTCGAAGTCGGGGTTCCCGAGGCCTCCCCCGCCTGCCGAGCGGCCGCTGGTGCATGTCCACCTGGGCCGCGCGGCTAGGAGGAGGAGGAGGAGGAGGAGGAGGAGGAGGAGGAGGAGGAGGACTGGAGCTGTTTAGTGTGCCAGGCCCGAGAACGCCTCCGCACGGAGGCGCGCAGCGCCGTCCCTGGCGGCCTCCTCGGCGGCGCCCGCTGGGGCACCGGCCGCTGGTGCCGCAGACGACCACGGGCACGACGGCTGCGGCGTCGGCGACCGGCGACGACGGTGGCGTCGGTCGGCTGTGCGCCGAAAGGGGGACCTGATCGGCCACACGCAAGCGCGACCCAGGGCACCGGTGAGCCTTGGTGCGGGGCTTTCGGGGGCAGTGCGGGCGCCGAATCCGATCGCGCTGCGAGCCCGCACCAAGAGGTCACTCGGGCGAGCCACCACTCCTGCGCGGAGACGACGTGAGGGGGGGCAGTCCTTCTCAGAAGGCGGCGGGGCTTCGGAGCAAGCTTAGACACATTCTCAGGGGCCTTCTGAGCCTCCTGCGCGACGAGGGGAAAATGGGAGGGGGCAGGCCTGCTCTGGAGGAGCAAAAGACGGCATACACACACGTAATTTCTTGGAGGTCCGATCGGATTTCTCGGATCGGCGACGGAGGCGCCGCCAAGGCGCCCGACGTCGATCCCACAAAACCCGCTCGGAACTCCGAGAGTTCATGTTTATGCAGCTGCAGCTTCTTGCTCCTCGATTCGCAGAAGGCGGCGGGGCTTCAGAGAGGGCTTAGAAACTTCTCAGCGGTTGTTTTGAGCCTTCAGAGAAGGCCCGCGCCCTCTGCCTTTCCCCCTGGGCAAGCCGCCAGCGTCGGAGCCAACGACGCCGACGCCGTCGCCGACGCCCTCGCCGACGGCCGACGGCCGCCGACGGCGACGCCGACCAGGGACACCCAAAGGTACCGATACCGTTAGTTCCCAACTCTGCAACTGCTAAATCGAATGCCTGCAACACGCCGTCTACCCTACATCAGTTCTGCGTCAACAAGACCGTCGTAAGGCTATCAGTGCGCAGGCATCATGCATGCTACCCCGAAGGGTGCACCACATTTGGCACTGTGGCAAGCCAGAGCAGTGTTTGAGGGATCCTGAGAAAACTCAAGGATGCACCTCCCCGATACCGATGCCAAACGATACAGATACCGCGGACCAGGATTTCGAGGCGAGCCCAGCCGAAGCGACGAGGGACGCGCAGCGGTATCGGCACCTGTTTAGACGAATCCAAAACAGCATAAACAGGGTCGCGGCAAGGGCGGCGCCGCAGGCGCCGCCAGGGGGGCCCAGCGCAGATCCACGAAACCCGGGCGGAGCGCAAAACGTCTACTTTCATGTAGTTTGTTCCACTTCGAACCCGTTCCTCCTCCCAGTCCTCCTCCTCCTCCGCCTCCTCCTCCACCTCCTCCTCCTCCTCCTCCTCCTCCTCCTCCCCTTCTCCTCCTCCTCCTCTGATCGTCGACGCCGACGGCCAAAGCCCGCGAGGCCGAGGACGCCGAGGCCGACGCCGCCGTCGACGGCGCTCAGCGGTGGCCGCGCCCCCCGCGGCCGGGGAGGGGCGGCGGCGGCCCGCCTCCGCCACGTGCCTCGCCAGCTCCGCCGGCTCGGACACAAAGAACTCGGCGCGGGCGGCACGGCGACGCCGACGACGCCGAGGGCGACGACGTCTGCGAGGGCCACGTCGGCGACGTCGACGACGTCACCGACGACGTCGACGTCGTCGACGGCGGAACCGCGCCTGGCGTGCGGCTCGGCGGCGCGTTGGCGAGGGCGGGCGCTCACTGGGCCCGTCGTCTGCCCGAGGGCCGACGGAGCAAGGCGCAGCCGCTTCCTTTCTTCTGTCACCCTCCTCCTCCCCTCCCCCCACTCCTCCCTCTTGCTCCTCTCCTCCTCCTCCTCCTCCTCCTTCTTCCTCCTCCTCCTCCTCCTCCTCCTCCTCCTCCTCCTCCTCCTCCTCCCCCCCACTCCTCTTGCTCCTCCTCCCCCTCCCTCCTCCTCCTCCTCTCCTCCTCCCCTCCTCCTCCGCCTCCTCCTCCTCCTCTCCTCCTCCCCTCCCCCCACTCCTCCCCTCTGCTCCTCTCTCCTCTCCTCCTCCTCCTCCTCCTCCTCCCCTCCTCCTCCTCACTCCTCCCTCTTGCTCCTCTCCTCCTCCCTCCTCCTCCTCCTTTCCTTCCTCCTCCTCCTCTCCTCCTCCTCCTCCTCATCTCCTCCTTCCCGCGTCTCGTTCTTCGGTGAACGCTGGCTTGACGCCCTCTTGCGCCGTCGTGGCCTGACCTGGCCACCTCATGCCTTTTCCTCTTCCTCCATTTCCTCCTCCTGCTTATGAGACGTTTGCGCTCTGTGGCCCAAGCAAGTTGGATTCAGTCCTCATCCTTTCCGTACTATCCCCTCTTTTGTGGTCCCCCTCATCCTTCCCCTCTTCCGCCTACTCGTGTTCCATCACTTCACATTGGTGTCGACGACAGCGACGTTGTCGCTGACGACAAATATGAGGGTGACGATGATCACGACAGGACAACGGCGACGTTGACGTCGACTGTTGATCACTGGAGGCCGAGGTCCCAGGAGGCCCACGGATGCCCTGGAGCCCTTCGCAGAAGCCCTCAAAAGAGTCAGAAACGGCTATGAATCTGAATCCACGATCTTCGATGACGGCGGCGACGACTACGACAACATCCACGACGAGGTCGACGACGACGCTGCCGCCTTCGAAAACGGAGTTGATGATGACGACGACAGTGCCGTCGACGAGGATGTCGCCATCGACGATGACGACGACAATTGGTCGACGGTGACGACGATGTGGTCGCTGTCGACGACGACATACGACGACGTAAGTTGCTGTTGACAACGAAGGCGAACATGTCGACGACGTAGACGACCGCGACGACGTCGACAGAGGAGCAGCAGAACTGCCCAAACAGAATCTTTCGGAGGTCAGCGCTGATCTCTGGAATCGGAGCTGGACCCCCTCCCTGGCGCAGAGCGCGCCAGAAGCGGCGCCGGAGGCGCCACCAGGAAGGGCCGCCGCCGATCTGAGAAAACCGCGCGAAGCTCCGAAAGCGTATGTTTATGTAGATTTGTCTTAATGTCTTAATTGAGGCGAGGGCGACGACGCCTGCGGCCACTTGGAGGCGGCTGGGTCCTCTGAGTTGGATGGGCCCCGAGAACATCGGTCAAGACGGGGGATGCAACCAGATCCGCTCAAGATCGTTCTCCAGACCCCTCCCGGGGTCCATCTGGCGGAATGTTTCACCCTGGGTCCGTTTTTGACGGCCCCGGGACCCGAAAACGGCCCAGCAAGAAAAAAACACCTCCTCGAACCCCGACTTCGGTCGGGCCTGTCCCCCTACAGGCGGATTTTGGACGAAAAATAAAAAATACTCAAAAAAATACTCCGAAATGGTCAATGAAAACTCAACATAGTCCCCAGACAATGTTTTGACTATCTTTGAACCTTCCTCCTGTCGAGGGACAGGCCCGACTGACACCCAGAACCTCGGACCTCGCCCCCGTCTCCCTGCCCGCCAGAGCCAGTGCTGGGCCACCGCGGACCCCCAGCCAGCTACAAGCGGCGACCACGTCGACGACGTCGACGGCGACGACGCCGTCGCTGGCGGCGGGGCAGGCCGGGGAGGTTATGAAGAGCCCCGCCGCCTTCTGCGAAGGCCTGCCCCCTCTACCCAGACCCCGACGCCGTGATTCTTTCATGACGACGCCCCCCAGAGGTCTGGACCCAGTCCTCGGGAGCGGCTTCTCATCCTGAGCGTCTTTTGACGCCCCCCGGGGCCCGGGAGGGCCCCCTAGAGGCTGACATATATATATATATATATATATATATGTATATACATATATACATACATATATATATATATATATATATGTATATATAGGTTTATACATAAATATAGGTAGATGAAATTATATATATATATATATATATATATATATAAATATATACACACAAATATAAAAGAAAACTCCCCGCCATGATTTTTCCGTGACCCGGGGGTGTCTGGGCTCTCGCCTCCCCCCCCCAGGCGCGCCGCCGATCTGCGGCGACCAGCTGGATACGCGCTTAGGTCGGGCACGTCCTCCTACAGGCGGACGTCGGACGAGACGTGCAAAATAGTCGATCCATACTTAAAAAAGCAAAGACAAACAAAAATCGAGAACACTCGTCCCCTGACTATCCTTTGACTACTTCTGCATGTTCCTCCTGTAGAGGGACATGCCCGACGCCGGCGGCGACGGCGGCGTCGCCGGCTTTGCGGGGCCGTGCCTGGCGTGCCGTCCGGCGGCGCGGTGGCGCCCGGTGGGGCGGCAGGGAGACCAGGAGCACCGCGAGCTTGTGCAGGCAGAACACGGGGAAGGCCGCCTGGAAGGGCAGAGACGACGACGACGACGACGACGACGACGACGACGACGACGAGAACGACGACGACGACGACGACGACGACGAGAACGACGAAGACGGGGAAGGCTGGGGGCACGACGACAGGATACAGCGTGTGGGGCTGCGCAAAGACAGCCCCCCAGGTAGTCCTGGTTGTGGCATCAACAGGCCCCCCTTGGTAACCCCAGCTGGCCTCAACAGACCCCCCGAGTAGTCGGGGGCGGTCTCAAAGCCCTGGCGCCGCCTCCGGCAGCGCCTCTCCGTGGCCCCGGGGCTGGGGTGTTGAGACCGCCCCAGGCTGTCGAGGCCAACTCGGACTACTCCAGGGGCCCCTCGAGGCCAGCTGTGACTACCTGGGGGGGGCTGTCTGTGCGCAGCCCGAAGCCTTACCACCAGCGCTGGGGGAACAGAAAGCTGCATAAACGTCAGAGTGAAGGGCCGCAGGGCTCTTAACCTCTGAAGGCTTGTTACATTCACCCCAAAAATGAGCAAATCCCACCAGCCCTCTGGGCGTGAGTGGTTCAGGGCGTTTCCACTTCCATTGCCCATTTTCCCTTTCTGGAAAATGTTTATCAATGTTCCCTATTGATATACACGCCTTCCCCCAGACGACGGGGGGTTTGGGGTGCAAAAAGGGGCCTGGTGTTTGTTATGTGTTTCGATTTCGAACTCCAGACTGGAAGGGGGCCAACTAAAAACAACGCCGACCCTATGCCCTATGCTCACACCCCCCCAATCATCCGTGTCAAAAATAAAACCGCACAAAACACACTCGGCCTCCAAATTCGGAGCATGCGCAACCAAGCCGCCCCCCCACCATCCATGCCAGAAGACAGTACAAAATACACTTTGGGGCAATGAGTCTTGAATCGTGTTCGTGCGGCCCGCGAGCACTTAGCGTTGTTTTTTTGACAGGGCCGGCGGGGGTGTCAGCAGATTGCCTGCTGTACGCAGGGCGACGTATGGCCTGCTTTGCGCAGGTCCACCAGACACAATGATGGGCAGTGGTTTTCGACAAAGGATGATGGGGGGCGACATGTTTACCGATGTGTGCTGTCACGTGCCCAGGCGCACCTGACATATTCTGCACGTGCTCCGAACGTGGCGCACCTGGCCCAGCTGGAGTGTGCAGCACACCGGGCGCACATGGAGCACGTGGCGCACCAGACGTGCCTGGCACGCTCGGGCCCCAGGGGTGCCTGGCGCGCGTGGAGCGCCTGGCACGCGTGGCGCACCTCGCCCAAGCGTCGCGCACATGCGGCCAGTTTTGTCCCAGTTGCTGCCCATATAAAGACGATCGCTGAACATGCTGAGGCCCCGGAGTTACTTATGTGCTGGGAGGGCGGGTGGGAGTGAGCTAGACGGCTTGCTATCTAGGAAGGTGTCTTGACCCCTCCCACTACCCTCTCCCCGGGGGTCTTGACAAGGCTGAACCTAGACGGTGGTTTTCGTTTCCGTTTTGTTATCGTTTTCCCTCGTTTTGTCTTCAATCCGCCTTTACCACAAAACGAAGTCGAAACGAAAACGGCCCACGAAATCGCAAAAACACCGTTTAGGTCCAGCCCCGGGTCTGGAGTGGCGGGGGTCGCGACCTACTGGGGCAGCCAAGGAGACCTCGGCGAGAAGGCAACAATCATTGATCTTAATACGATTTGGATCCATTTTGGCCTCCTGGGGGGGACGCTATATGGTATCCCCCTTACTTGATCGAACTCCGTCCGGATGGCCCCAAGATGGCCCCCAATGCTCCTCCCAAGAGTGCCCCAAGAGGTGCCCATGAGGCCCCAAGAGGCCCCCAATAAGCTCTCCCGAGGCCCCCAAGACGCTCCCAGAGGCCACCGGAAGGTAGCTGGCGCCGAGGCGCGAGCGCGATTCCCTGGTAAATGGCAGAGGGTGATCAAGGGAGAGCCATGCTGGAGCAAATCGTGGCGAGGCCTCGGCTAGAGCGCGGCGGGCAGGGAGGAGGCAGGATGGGCGAGGAGGAAGAGAGGAGGAAAGAGCTCCCGGATGCTGCGCGAGAAGAATAACGAAGGAGAGAGACGGGACCAGGCTCAAACGCTGCCTGTTTGAGGGCGTCACTGACGGGGGTGCATCCTAGAAGCGGCATCGACAATGCGCAAGCATCCCTGGCATGGCGGAGGAAACGGAGCAAAGCAGGAAGGAGGAGGAGGAGGAAGAGGAGGAGAGGAGCAGCAGGAGCAGCTGGAGGAAGAGGAGGAGGAGGAAAAGGAGGAAAGGATGGGGAGGACGCGCATTAGAAGGAGGAAGAGGAGGAGGAGGAGTAGGAGGGGATGGAGAAGGAGGAATGCGAGGACGAGGAAGAGGAGGAAGAGGAGGAGAGGAGCAGGAGCAGGAGGAGCAGGAGGGAGAGGAGGAGGAAAAGGAGGACCGCCACAACGACGACCACGGTAGCGGCGGCGACATCCACGACAATGATACAATGATCTTGGCGACGGCGGAGACATGGACGAAAATATGATTATCCTCCTCTCTTCTTCTTGCCCCCATCCCATCCCCTCTCCCCTCATCAGAAGTTGATTGACGACGACGACGACGACAACCACCGCGGCGGCGGCGATGACGATGACGACGGCGACTGCCACGAGGACGACGCTGACGATGATGAACGACGACTGCGGTGACGATCGCGACCGACGTCGGCGGAGACGGTGGTGACGACCGCGGCGACGGCGACGGCGGTGACGGTGACGTCGCCTCGAGCCCCCGAGGCCTCCCGAGGTCTGAAGGAGGCACAGAAAATCCGAAACCCTCGAAACTCGCTCCTCGGCCCTCAATCTTCAAAACTGTCGAAGATGCCAACGCCGACAGCGACAAAGAAGGCGGTAACGGATACTTACGATGACGACGACGACGACGGCGGCGGCGACATGCGGCGACCGACGTCCTCCGGAGGCCCCCAAAATCGCAAACCGAAACATTTCGAAACGTTGGCCGCCCGCGGCCGCCGCCACCACTGCCGTGACGGCGGTGCCGCCGCCGCCGCCTAGGGCCGCTACCGCCGCAGCAAGCCGAACGCCGCCGCTGCCGTCGGCCGCCACCATCCGCCGCCAGCTGCCAATGGCATCCTTGAGATCCGACGGAATTTGAAAACATTGAATCACAAAAAGCAAAAGCATGACGTGGGCTCCGGACCACACATCCTTCTGCTAGACTTATCGGGCCCTATCAACCTGTCAGGGCCCCAGGGCCGAAACCGGGCGCACACGCCCATTGTGAGAAAACTGCAACGTCAAGATCTCAACCAGCGACTCCGAAAGGTGTGGTTTGCAAAGGGTGTGGACTGCAAGGCGCACCCTGGGGGGGCGGGCGAGGAGCTCGACAGAGTTTCCCGCCGCGCCCCGAGGCCCGACGAGGGCAGCGTGGTGCCCCCCAAGCCCCAACGGCGCAGATCGCAAACCACACCCCAGCGTGACTTGTCGGCGCGCACAATGGGGTAGGGCGAGGGGGGAAGGTTTCTTAGAAGAAGACAGCCTCTTAGAGGGCGCCAGCCGCCCTTGCAAGAAGCTAGGGGCGCGCCGCTTCTTAGAAGCACCGCAGAAGCTTCTTCGAAACACGAAACTGCTTCTTATAAGCAGCAAGAGGTTCCCAGAAGCAAGCCACCTGCTTCTTAGAAACACGTCAGGAAGAGCTTCTGAGACACAGCCACATCTTTCTCAGAAGAAGCGCCCGCGCCTTCCAAGCAGGGGGCTTCTCAGAAGCCTGCCCCCCCCTCTGCGCGTGGCCGACGGTCGTCGCCGACCCCGGCGGCAGCAGCGGCCGCGCCCCGCCGCGGCCACGGCGCGCACCGGCCGCGGCAGGACGGCGCCCTCGGCGGCCGGCGACATGAACTCCTCGGCGGGTGCCGTGGCGGGGCGGCCGACGGCTCCGGGCGCTCGGCAGCACAAGCAGCGCCATCCCACGGCAGCCGCCGGCGCTCTCGGCGCTCGGCGGCGCTCGGCGGAGCGGGCATCGGCGTCGGTGACCCTTCCTCCTCCTCCTCCTCCTCCTCCTCCTCCTCCTCCTCCTCCTCCTCCTCCTCCTCCTCCTCCTCCCCACCGCGTCGTTCCTCCTCGTCCTCCTCCTCCACCTCCCCCTCATCCTCTTCCTGATCCTCCTCCTTTTCCTCCTCGCCCCTCCTCGCCCCTCCTCCTCCTCCTCCTCCTCCTTCTCATCCTCGTCCTCCCTCTTCCTCCTACTCCTCTTCGTTTCCTCCTCCTTCGCGGACCCACGGGGCAAAGGCAAGAATTGAGAGACATACAAAAGAACTGATGCCACACGGCTCTCTTAGTTGTACGCAGTGACAGAAAACGGGGCGCCCTGACCCGCAAGTTTCGAGCCTCGGTCCAGCCACTTGGCGACAAGGGATCTCCGCGAATGGAGCGCGGCAGCAGGCCCAATCCATAGCCCCATATACTTTAGCGTATCAACTACTTCAAAGGTCGCTCAAGAGGGCAGGCATGCACGCAACCATCTCAGATATCTACGGGCGAACCGATCGCTGAAGGCCTCGGCGAGCGGGGCAATCTTGCACTTCGAGGTCTTCAGTATCAGTGCCGCGACGTCCTCAACCGTCTCGAACACATTGCGAAGCAGAGGTAGGAAAGCGAATTTGCGAAGTGCAGCGCCGACAGCATCAGCACAACATCTGGCCAGCCCAGCATTATGTGTGGTTCGTGCTTCGTCCACCGTAGAAAGAAACAGTCTGTCGCCATCGCGAAAAACATGTGCCAGAAACTGGACATTCTTGAATAATACCAGACCCTTGATGGAATAGAAACACCTTGGAACTCATGAGCGCGTCGTAGCACAGAACGGATGAGTGGATAGCTTGCACAAACACTTGGAGAGGATCTGGCACAAGCAAGGCGCCCAGCACTTGGTGAAGCCATGTGTGGCCCGGGCTGGGAAAGGCCTGACCAAAGTCAAAGGATACAAGAGCTGGAAAATCAATTAGAGCCGATGGCGACATCGAGAAAACTATGGCATACCCGTCGAGCTCAACGATGTAGTTTCCGAAACTTCGGGGGCGAATGAATCCACGTTGTATTGTAGCAGCAAGCGCCAGAATAATTCTGTTGATCTTGAGGACAACGACGGCCGTGATGATTTTGTTGTCCGTGTTCTTGAACACCACTGGCCGCAAGCCAGCAGCCTCTCGAACGCATTTGTTTTGAAAGTCCTCTTGTTCTTCACCCTTCGGAATGAAAACCATTAAGAGAGCGTTGGAATCACGGCCCATGGGGTTCCCACTCAGGATCCAAGAAAGAGCCTCGAAGAGCACTGAGCACGAGTACGGGGCATACTTGTAGGCGCTATAGGGTAAAGAGTCAGGACCAGGGGCAGAATCTGAAAGTCTGGCTATATACTGCTCCATATCATGATAGAAGAGAGGAGGAACATCACGCAGATCAAATTGCACCACTCTGCAAAATAATCACGACCAGCAGAGCTGTTGACTTCTTTTGGAGAAAATACCTGGCCCCAACGTGTGGAGATCTCATTTTGCACGCGGTCAGCAACCGGGTGCCCGACCGAACCCAATCAAATGCAGGCGTCGGTCAAAAGGCGTCCAGAGACGTACTCTGCGAACAAGCCTCCGCAGACGCTGTCTGAGCTTGGAACGGGTGGACTCCGACTTCGCTGCATCCTGAAAATGAAGAGTGTCCAGCATATCTGAGAACTTCCGAGGGTCTTTCAGGAAAACGCAGGCCATTTCGGGGTCGATGTCGAGGTATTCCTGGGCCAACTCGTTCTGCAGTAAAATCTGGGCCAACTTCCGATCGTTTCTCCAGACAGCACGGCTAATGGACCTGAAGAGTAAGAGCTTCGAGATGGCATCATTGGGAGCCTCCTGGAACAGGGCGTTACGAGTCTGTCGAGCACCTTCACGCAAAACTTCTTGATAGAACGCGAACTTCATGGGGGGATTCAACTCCGAGAGGTCACACTCGTCCCAGGTCCGCTGGACAAACTCCTTAAACTTCGGAAGCTGAACAAAAGGTGCTTGGAGATAGGACGCTCGTCCATATTGGGAGGATCTCGATGCCGAAGGTGTACCAGGAGAGGCGCGTGATCGGATATCCCCTTCTGTTCCAGAGTTTCAGGCATACCAGGAACTCGAACTTCGGTCTGAAGGCACGTCAGGAAATGTCCAGGGAGGCTGGTGAGTATCCGACCAATGTTAGAGGTATGCTGCTCCACCCCGTTATAGTGAGTAGGCTCTACATTCTCGATTTCGACCAACATCGAAAACCACCTCCTCCTCCTCCTCTTCTCCTCATCGTCGCACCCCTCTCGTTCCCGTTCCCCGTCTCCTCCTCCTCCTCCTCCTCCTCCTCCTCCTCTTCTCCTCTTTTCCTTTTCTCCTCCTCCTTTTCTCCTCATCGTCGTCCCCTTCTCGTTCCCGTGCCCCGTGTCCGTCTCCTCCTCCTCCTCTTCCTCCTCCTCTTCTTCTCATCGTTGCCCCCATCTCGTTCACGCTCCCCGCCTCCTCCTCCTCCGACTCCTCCTCGACTGAAGGGG